GGCTACCTGCTATGCCTCTCTCAGATCCCTTCTCCCTCTTCAGTTCATCAAGGTGAAACACATATCTTCCTTTTTCTTTTTCTTTTTCACTTTCTTTCACTGTTTATAATTAGTTTGTACAACTCCTTGCTTCAGATCACTTAGTTATTTCAATTTTAGTGGATACCCTTTTGGAAATCAGACCACTCCATGAGCTAATTTACTGTTAGTAACCATTCTCTTTATCAGAATCTAAGTAGAATCTTCTTTATTTCTATTATTCAGATAATTACTGTTGTTTCATAATTACCCTCTTTTTCCTTTTTGGTTATGTTTCAAGGTTTCTGGGTTGCTTAGGGTTTTATAATATTTTTCAGGGAAAGCGTTCAATATCTGACCACATGAACGAGGCAGTGAATTACATAAAGCACATGCAGAACAATATCAAAGAGCTTGTTGCCAAGAGAGATGAACTGAAGAAACTTTCCAGCCACAGCAATATGGAAAATAGTCATGAGGGTTTGCATACATCTTGCAACTTTACTGTCCACGAGAGTAATGATGTCATAGGAATCGAAATCACCAGTGGCTTCATTGAGGAAAGGCCTAAAGTTTCAAAGTTACTGCAGCTACTGATTCAAGAAGGTCTTGAAGTTGTTAGTTGCCTTTCATCCGAAGTCAATGGTAGATTGCTCCACAGTGTGCAGTGTGAGGTAAGAAGTTCAGGGTTTGCTTTTATATTTGTTCTAAAAATTTACTCTAATATGATATTTATTTTCCATATTTTCCATGATTCTCAGGTAAACAGTTCCAACTGTTTAGATCTATCTGAGCTGAGAAGGAAAATTTCCAAAGCATTTCCAGCATTTAGATGTTCTGACTAACTTTGCTGTTGGAGCTGGCTAGGTTCACAATCTCTCCAATAACAGGAAATTTACCATGGCATGCATTTTAGATCGAGAGCTACTATGGTACCTAGAAAAACCTATATATAGAGTTTCAGCAGTTATTTTTTGAGTTAACAGTTGAATGAGTTTGAACACATCAAATGGCAACACATTCAACTATTTCTCAAAAGTAAATAAATGTCATTAAAAAACCTTAAACTTCTCATATTACCTTCGAATTTCTCCTTTTAGACCTTTCAACCTTGATAGACCTAATTGTTTGAATGAGTTTGCTTGAAATTTTTGCAATGGCAACTGTCCCATTTTCTCACTTTGAATGGATTCTGTTTCTTTGTTTGGGAAGAAAGAGGGAAGAAGAAAGCAAATTTATGTAACTCAAACATTTAATTTCTTTTTCCCAATTCCTTCCGTAGTTTTCTGCAATAAAATGGATTCGTTTTCTGTCTTTTTATCAAATTTAACAAGGCGCATTAATTTACCTTCATTGCGTATGTAAATTGTAGTTAACGTGGAGTTTGAGGTTCCTTTAGC